GTGGGGGAGGGCTATTGCTTTCATGCCCTTTATTGAAAGCATCTTGGAAACTCATGACTATCCACTATGGGAAATAGGAAGCTAACTGGTAGACCTTTGGTCTGAGCCAAGAGAGCACCCCTTATTTTCTGAACTGCACGCACTATGGCAATATTATAAATGTGGATGTGGGCAAACATTTTGAGCCTATCACTTTTCTTAGTAAACCTTCTCTTAGTTTTTGTTGCCCAAGTGCAAGCACATCAAAAGTTTAGTAGCCAGTATTTAGGTGTAGGTTGGATCCCTATGGCTCTTTTCTCAGAAGGTAGGGGAAAGAAGATGCCACTGAGATTAAGGCCAATCCCCTTACTTTTATTTAACACCTCCAACCTACCAATATTTGGGGAGATGCTCAGCATAGCGCTATTGCAGTGAGAAGAACAGGAGTAGCTGTATTCATACTCTCATATCCATATGATTAACTATTAAACCATTCCTATTTTTAAATAACCATTAAATACCCAGAGGACTGGCAGTAGGAAAGGGATATTGCTTTCATGCCCTTACTGACCCTTTAATTTATTTTTTTTCCTATTCCTGAACAAGTATATACAAACTGAAAAATAAACCAATCTGCTCTTCAACCTTCACAGCTGGCAATTTCTCATAAAATTTCTCATGGGCTGAACAATCATGAAATATTATTCCTCATATTTTATAGTGCATCTTCACCATTCCACTCTTACAAACTGTTGCAGGCTTTATAGATTTCAAACACCTGAAGTGTGGTGTAGTGGGAAAGATATGCAACTTATATATGTTTCTTCTCAGAGTCACTGAAAACCAAAAGTTATGCTTGGTTTGGTTGGTCATGTTGAATAACCATACAAACTCAATCAATAAATAAAATGATCTGGCAGACATTGTTGACAATAACTAATTTATATAGCACCAAGAGTTACTGAGCATCAAGCCTTCCAATTACTTCACTGGCACAAGCCTTGTTTATTCATCTTATGTAGTTTTTGAAGATTAAAACACTGTTTAGAATGTTATTGCAAAGAAACACCATAGCTATTTTACTTTTCCATTGATTTTGGTTTAAAATTTGATTAAATTTCATCCAGTTATATCATTTGGAACTTGGAAATAAGGAGTTAGAATCACAGAACCCTGAGATTAAGAGTCTTATGCTCTACCAACTGAGCTACCAAGGCAGAATTACTGGAAATAGTTGGCATCACTAACTAGCTGGTTGTTGGCATCACTTTTGCCTGTACTCTGGAACAATAGTAAATAATGCACTTCAAATCATATTGTATCACAAGGTTGAGATTCTGATTTTTCATCAGTATGTGTGGGCATAATACAGATTCTCCTACAGATTTTGCTTTGTTATTTTATTTTATTACTTCTCACTCCATAGCTCATTTTGCTTAACAGTTAAAACTCCAGTTATAAAAACAGAATGCAAAGGTATCACATGCTCACTGCATCAGTGTATGGAAAGTATAGAAGAAAAATGGCAACAGCATCTCCCCATTAGTTTGCTATATTAGTTTAAATTTCAAAGAAAAGATCAATCAAGGAAAGCTTAATGCAAATGTAAAAGAAATATTAGACAAATGTATCCTGCTACATCAAAGAAGACTTAGACACCATGATTATCACTAATGGTAATTAACGGTAAAAGGGCCTGTTATACTAAAATAATGTTATTTGAAAGTTCATAAGTTCAAAGGTTAAGAGTTAGTTGAATTCACACATCATTGTTCCTATAACTGGAATGATTAAACTAAGAAGGTTTTGGTTACAGGAGGAGTATCAGGGTGATATAAGGGAGTGGGGGAGTGATGGTTCTTGCTATGTAAGGCTGCCAGTTCTTTATCCATGGGGAATTATGGACAATCTGGGATTGATCACCACCAAAGGTGGGTCTGTGGGCACATTTGCAAACCAGCCACATGCACACCACAACCTATCTTATTGCATACAGCAGAATGCTTATTTAAGCAGAGGAAGGGGAAAGGAAAAGGAACCTGTAGGAACTGAAGAAGACCTCTGAGAGCACATATGCACTCACAAGCATCATACTGGCAACTCCTGGATTGAGCACATGCCTTTTATTACTATTTCCCAGTAAAAACATGGCAATTTCTTGGTAATTTAGTTATGTATACTTGCTTTTTAAAAATTTGCTTATAGTGTTTGTGCATTGTTGTTATTGTTTTATATTATTTTATGTATGCTGTTTGGAAGTTTGTTTGTTTTTTAAGTAACAGGTTTATACTTTCCCCCCTAAATAAATACATTAAAAGTACACAGCAACACTTTTAGTGTGCTGTGTTATTGTTCACTCTCAAAAATGTTTGTAAGACCGGGTAGTATTGCATTTATTAATTGTGGACAGTCATAAGTATGCATGAATGCAGGGAATAACCTTTGGGGACAGGAATCATCTTGGTAATAGCCAGCTATTTCTGGAACTCCAGAAACTCCTCATTGCAATTATTTTTGAGAAAATTCTGGTGTCTCCTCTCAAGTGTCAACCTCCTTGCTATTCACAGTCTTTGAGAGATTCACATGCATCCTTAGTCCCCTCTCCCCCAAAAATGTTAATAAACGCTTAAGGCGGATCCATTCTGTGGCAAGACCAGTTGCCTTTTTAACATGAACTCCTTGGCAGAGCAAAGTTTTATCTTCAGATACTTTATTTTATTTTATTTTTTTAAAAAACCCTCTTCGCTTCCCATAAGGGAGGCAAAACCTGCATAACCACAGCATGTTTAAAAATTCCCCAGAAGTTGTTGAAACTCCGGACATAAAGACAGGCTGCAGGTGTGTCAACATTCACATGCGAATGCTGGTAACCTGAGATGAAGCTGCGGGGACCTCAGAAACTCGTATCTCATTTCCCCACTTTTGGAGTACACACAAGGGAATGCTGTTATTTACACTGCCCGCAATTCAGGGTGTGCGGTCTCCGAGTTTTCTAGCTATACGTGTGTATTACACGCCTACTATACGTGTGTATTGGTGACAACTGGGGTTGGGATTTGTAGAGCGGCGGCAGCAGCAGCAGCAGCAGCAGGGGAGGGAAATGTGGGTGAATGGCCGCAGCACGGAGCTGTCTCTCTCACGATAGGACACAGCCAGTGGGCGGTGGCTGCTGCTGCTGCGGAGGCGGCGGCGGCTGCATCCCCTCACGCGGGGATTTGGCGAGCGCCTTTTGCCCCTGATCTGCTGGCGGCGCGCGCGCTTTTTCTCCCGCGCTGCCAGGCGGCGACGGACTGGGGCTCCCCTTCGTCAAGCCTTGCGCTCGCGCCCAGCCCGCGGCGCGCGACGAGTAGGATCAAAGCGAAGGCAGAGACGCTTCCTCAGCGAGGGAAGAGAGCGCGGGAGAGAAGCTCCGCGAGAGGAACGCCTCCCTCCCCCGCCCCCTCGGGGACGACTTAGCGAGACCCGAGCAGGGATCACTCCAGCCCCGTCAGAACAGAGCGGCTCGCCTCCCGCCACAGGCTCGCCTCCTCCACCCCCGCGAGGCGCCTCTCATGTCGAAGCAGCCGCCTCTTGTTTGCTCCAACAGACCTTTCTCTCACATAATATCGTATAATAGATATTAATAATAGTCTCCACATACGAGTGCTGACATAATAGAGCTGTTCAATCCTCACCATCCCCACCTATGAGTGCTGAGGAGGCAAGGCGAACTGCGGGAGGGGGGAGCTCTTTATTCTGAAGGGGAGGCTGTCAAAAAAACAAACAGAGAGGAGGGAGATTGCAATATCTATATCTCTATATAATATAGAGATATCCCTCCTCTCAGCTGGGAAGAGGCGGCGTTTCTCTTCCCTTCTCCTCTGCCCTGGTTCCCCCTACAAGAAAACTCACAGGAGCAGATCTCTGTTATGAGGAGAAAAGGTGAGCAGCTCCTTCGGAGAAACTGGTGGAGGGCGCGAGGGAGGAGAAAAATCAAGGCTGGACCAAACTTGGAAACGCCAAGCTCAGCTGCAGTTGGGCTTTCCTCTCCAGTTACTGAGGCATTTTTCCCTCCCCTTCCCACCGCCCCACAACACAGCCTGGGGAAGAAAATAAAAAAGCTCGTTCTTCAATGATTTCCTTATCTGAGGAAGCCTCTCAACTTTCGCAGACACCTGAAGGCATCTTTTCAAAGGCAGAGAGGGTGAAGACCTGTCTAAGTTATCTCCTGGGCGTCTGTCCTTCCCCTCTGTCTGGGCAAAGACTCGATAAATGGAGAGGATCTAATCTGTGTGATCTGCGAGGTCTTTTCTCCATCTCTCCATCCACCACTCCTCCATCTGCCTACCCGTGAAAGGCACAGAATTAATATATGCATCTGTCTAATCTTTCTCTATCCGAGCCTCCCCTCGCTGCATCCGATTAGTACAGAAAGAGAGCGAGCGAGGAAGTTTCCTCTCCGCCTCCCCAGCAACCTCCATCACTGCACCTTTTCAGGAGGAGGGCGTCCTATTTAGAGACGGCAGCGAGCAGAAAGGAGCCCCGCGACTGCATTCGCAAACTGTCCGAGGCTCTCCTGCTTCTTCGCTGCGCTTCAGATGTATAATTAAAAATAAAATAAAACAAACAACGGGAGGGAGGGAGAGACTAAGGAAACGACCGCAGGGCTGCTTGTTTGGTGATGGTGCCTATATTATTATTATTATTATTATTATTATTATTATTATTATTCCGTCTTGCCAGTGCGCTTATCAGGATTACGCGGAAGCCCTGACTGCATCTGCGAAGCGCCCATTGCAAAAGAGGACATGTCTGCGGATGGATGACACATAATCTGATTAAAGAAAATAAATACATACAAGAAAAACACCCACGTCCAGACAGCTGGGGCTTATTGGCACGTCTCTCTCCCTCTCCCCCCACACGCTGGCCCCTTCCCCAAGATCGCCCGGCGCATTAATTCACTTTCTTTATTTCTGGACTTTGCCCTCACTTTCCACCCCGGAATGCGCCGGGGCTGCTCTTGCCCTGACCCCGTCGAGCATCCTCGCGCCCCCTCGCCCGCCGCTCACCTCTGGCGGACGACGGCGCTCCCAGGCTGGCGCACAGCACGAGCCAGGCGCCCACCCAGCGGCTCATGATGGTGATCCCGAGGGACGATCCCGAGGCGGCGGAGTCGAGGAGTTTGGCGCGGGAGGAAGAGCGGCGGTCTCTCCGCACCTGGTCGCTCGGCAGCAGATCCCACGAGGAAGGAGACGTCCCCGCGCGCGAGGGAAGAGCCTCTCTCCTTCTCCTGCTCCCCAACGGCGGCGAGTGCCGCGTCTCGCCTAATGGCCAGGATATCCTCCTCGGAGACCCCCGCGCAGCTCGCGGCCGGAACGCGGCTGCCGCGACTCGCCGCTCATCGCTCGCCCTGGGCAGGTGTGTGGGAGCGAGCGAGCGAACGAGCGCGCGAGAGACTCTTCCTTCGCCTCCTTCGTCTGCCGCGGGTCGGTGGGGGCAGCCTCTTGGCTGGCTGCTCCTGCCGCTGCTGCAGGGAAGAGAACAATGACGAGGGAGAGAGAGAGAGAGCGCTCTGCCGGCTGGAAAGTGCGCTGTGTACAAACAGAGGCGGCGTGCGCGCGGCTGGCTGAGGCGAGAACCACACTCTCCGACGCCGAAGCCGCCTGCTCCCCCCCCCCGCCTCCCTTCACTCAAGAGGCAGCTCCGGGCGGGGGGGGGGAGTCAGAGAGGACCGCGGACACACCCTGCCCTCTGATTGGCCCGCCTTTTGTCTCAGTGAGCGGCGCGCGCTGGAGGTGGGAGCTCGAAGTAAGAGGCAAGTCGAGAGAGATGGGCGAGGAGGACTGGTCCTCTTGGCTGGGGAGCGGAGCGGAGTCGCTGAAGGGATGGAGAGAGAGCGGGTTCTCAACCAAATGAGGAACTAGGATCCCCCCCCCTCTCTCTCTCTCACCCCTCCCCCTGTCTTCCAGCTTTACTGGTTGTGGATGTTGAATCGGGCATGTCGGGGAGAGTGTGGGTGAACACCAAAGTGCAAAAGTTCTCAATTGTTCTGTATTATTGTTGGCTTGACATTAATCACACTTTAACACCGAGTTTTTTAAAGCAGGTTTCAAAGTTGTTGGTTTGTTTAAGGGAAATATCTTATCATCATCACCACCACCACCATTAGTGGTAATATTTATGCTACAAAAGTGGGAATTGATATTGAGAGTGGTAACCACCTAAGGAGTTCATAGCTAAGCTAAGGTGGGAACTGGGATTGACTTGTAGGCATGATCTCCCCCAGTTTTTACTGGGCAATTTCAGTCCAAATCCTAGATTGACTGTACTTGTTCCAAAAACAAGCAAACAAAACTCAACAACATGTGGTCATCTTGCATTCTTGTCTGTGTATATTGAATGTTTTGTGTAAGGACAGAGCATGAACACTAGATTTAAGTCATGAATATTGTGACCTTAAAAAGGTAAAGCGACCCCTGACCATTAGGTCCAGTCGTGACCGACTCTGGGGTTGCGGCGCTCATCTCACTTTATTGGCTGAGGGAGCCAGCGGCGTACAGCTTCCAGGTCATGTGGCCAGCATGACTAAGCCACTTCTGGCAAACCAGAGCAGCACACCGAAATGCTGTTTACCTTCCCGCCAGAGCAGTACCTATTTATCTACTTGCACTTTGACATGCTTTTGAACTGCTAGGTTGGCAGGAGCTGGGACCGAGCAATGGGAGCTCACCCCGTCGCGAGGATTCGAACCACTGACCTTCTGATTGGCAAGCCCTAGACTCTGTGGTTTAACCCACAGTGCCACCCGCGTCCCTTGATTGTGACCTTACCCATGCAGAATTTTAAAAAGGTGGGGCATGCCATCAGTTTCGTATGTTTTCTGTGATAGCCAGAGAGTGAAGCCATGAATGCTTGTAATAAAAGCATCAACATAATTTGCATTATTGGTTTAGCCCATCCCTAACTGCAGCCTTAAAAACAAAATGCAAGTGGTTGCTGGAGTCAAGAGTCAAGCAGAAGATTTCCAGGAACTTCTAGGAAACTGAAAATGTTCCAGAACTGTTAAAGCTTATCATCATCAAGGGAATTGTCTTTTAGAAACCACACATTTCAAAGAAATCCACAGTTCAATAATAAATGCAATTCAAAAACAGATCATTTTAGGGTACAGTATTATGAAGCAGTGTACTTGACTACATGAATGTTTTTTCTCAAATCTGAATGCTTTCAGATCACTGTGTTTAATAATTCTGCTGTGTGAGCATGGAACATTGCATCCAGATGTTATGAGGTTGATAAGCTTTCATACTTTGATAGGGTTCCACCCACCATCTACATTTTCTGTGCATTCTAGAAATATTAGTTGAGATACTAATATAGCAGGTAACAATACCAAGACAAAATTATTGATGGAGAAGGCCTATTAAGCATCATTTGCTAGCTTGTTTGACCATGATTCCATCTCCTGCTATGTTATCAAACCTATCTCTGCATGATGTGAAAGTTTCTTGAATCTTCTACTTTTTGCTAAAGCTTTGGCTACTTTCCTCTGAAACCATTCTACACTCCTATCTCACCACTGGGATATATTTTGTCACTGACATTTTATTTTTTATTTAATTTTACCCCATTAGCTGGTTGGAGGAGAGATTTATAGTGTGGGCCATGTCCTTTTTATCTGCTCAAAAGAGATGAAACTACCCAAGTAATAACTTACATTTATACAGTGCATTTCCTCTCCAGAATCCCAGATCACTTTACACACTCTATATATATAGCAATCACTCCATTCATCACAAAAATGCAGCTACCACTCTGGTGGGCATGTTGGACCGCTAGTGCACCCCCACGGAAAAGCTTCAGATAAGAATACTACTTCAGAATATAAATGTAAGAAGAAATGGGTTGAGCGTTACAGTCACAATGGAGTTTGGCCAGGAATTCTAAAATAGTATCATTTGTAAATCTCCTTGCCACTATGATGAAATATGGGATCAGAAGTGACCAATTGCTGGAGAATAGTTGCTTATTTAAAATGAGAGGTTAAAGTCACTGACACGAACACTGTAGGTAATCAGTTTCTCATACATAGAATCTCACCTGCCCATCAGTCCATTTTTTAGTTAGCATTTAGTACAACTCCATTCATATGCACAAGACCTTTTTCCTTCACTTATAGACAGCGGGATGCACTTGCAGCGATTCTTCACTTATACTTCAGCAGTCCTTTGGTTCATGGACTCACACAGAACCTCTGGACTTTTCTTTCATACTGATCAGAGATTGGACCATGTCGTTAAATCATTTTCATTATTTTGGAGTTGGATGTGAAGTCTTTTCTACCTTTCATACATGCTCAAAATCTTCTTGGGAGAAATTGCAACAAGCACCCCTGCTATCTGTCATTGTCTTCACACAATTCACATTAACATATTTCACATCCACATCTTCTTCAAAACAACCCAAATATGTTATGGTTCCACCACCTACTGTGATGTCTATTGATGTTCTTCTCAGTTTTTTATCAGCCACAAGGTTTTCTTTATTGTTATCATTGACCCAGGGGTAAGGTCACATGCCGGCTGTTAAGTCACTTCAGCAAAAGATTCAAGCAAGTTGTACAGAGCTGGACTTTTCCTCTGCTGTCATCTATTTTAGCTCATCATGACTGTTCTTGTGTTTTCTGGATTCAGTAGTTCCTTTGGACCCAGCAGGACTGAATTAATATATAATGTTGCTCAATTTCAAATTACAGAATGGCAGGATTCTTCCTGGAACACCACTATGAAAACAGTGTGATTTTATCCCTTTTCAGGTGTTATTCCCCAAGAGGGAATCTCAAAGCATGTGGGGATGAGTGGGAAATATATACTAGCCCTCTCCCAATATTCCTATCTACTCCACTCCCTTCTTTAATTGAATGGGAAAGTCTGGATGGGCTTCTAAATGAGTTCATTTGACTGGCTTGGAAGCATCTCTGGAACTGGGAACTCTATGTTTTGAGACTATCAGTGTTCATGACAGCGAGCTTCTAAGTATATTAGCCAAATGCACTTAGGGAGCAATCCAAACCAAAGATCTGCTGGGGTGAGTAGAGTTTGGAATAGGTGGGTATCTGGTTGAGCCTGGGCTATGCTGTCTGACGTCCCAGATCCTGACTCAGCCAGAGATATGCTGGCATAGGTCCTGCATCCCAGCTCAGACAAGACTCAGATGGGGTAAATCTCCCACAAAAGGTCACGGCAGTGGTGAGCTAGGACATTGGGAGTCTTACTGCTATTTCCAAGTCTGTCCAGCTCAGTCCCATGGCCTAGCATCCCAACAGAAGTTACAGTGGCAAAAAGGGACTTGTAAGTCAGAAGGTGTGCTTTCACTCTGTCAGGCTTGGGCCAGCTCAGCCAGCAGTAACAGAGTTTGGGATACAGGTAAATTACACCAGCATTATTTACCCTGCCACAAATCGTGCTGGCTTCCTATAATTTGGATTGCTCTGATCAAAGCTCCATCCAGGACTTCTTGCTCAAAATGTGCAAACCAGGAGTAGAAGAGGTGGGGTCAGTGCACACAGAGAAATTGGGGGCTTGGTGGGTGTGTGGGCACCCACTACTTAATATCCAGATTTGCTGTTGAGCCATAATTCTTAAGCATCCTCTCATTGACATGTAGTTGGTTGTTGTAGATGCTTTCAGTATTTGATTTGCCAATGGTACTTTCAGAAGAAGCTCTTCCTGTAACAAATGTAGGAACTGAGTATCTCTGAGACTGCCTGTTTCCATATAGTACACATTTCTGGGGAAAAGGAATTAGGCAGTCTAATGCTTTTCCCCAATTCCCAACCCTGTCCCTGCTTTGAATGTAGCTTGCTTCAACAGTGATACACACTAATTAGTCTGCATTAAAACCTTGTAATTTACAATGAACATTCTAAAAAAAAAGTGTTTTTTATAATGTAAACACACACACGTTAGTGGCATCACACTAGACTGGGAATGTGGACTATGCTGATTATTATTCTACTAATCTGTAGTGTGAGGTTGGTGCTATCAATTCATTTTTGCCTTTCTGAGCCTCAGCTTTTTAATCAATGCTTTGTCTTTTTTATCTTGTTGTTGACATCCATCTGTCTCGAGAGAAAATGAGACATGAAGTGCGCCTCTGGGGGTGAAGTCAAACTGTTGGAGAATCACAGCGCCTGCTGCAGCTGCAGAGACTGGTAACTCACAACTGCTGCCTCCTGTGTTGTTTTTGTTGCATTAGCAGCACTGTGACCTCTCTGGGGTGCAAACCTGAGCACTGTGTATGGAAGTCCTGGGCTGCCCAGATGACAAGACCCCCACTCTCAGCCTCCGTAATGTGGCCCAAAGGAAAGCAGAGCAATACATTTGGCACCAGTTTGCATGCAGGAGTTGCCAGAAGGAGGCGGACAAGGCACAACCCAACTGTCTTAGAGTTTCTTATCTGCATACATTATATTTGAGGAACTAAAATTCTTACAGAACATTTAAAAACAGGTCCTTAACTTCTCATTCCAGAGCCAGTGTGGTGTAGTGGTTAAGAGCAGTAGTCTCATAATCTGGGGAACCGGGTTCGTGTCTCCGCTCCTCCACATGCAGCTGCTGGCTGACCTTGGGCCAGTCACACTTCTTTGAAGTCTCTCAGCCCCACTCACCTCACAGAGTGTTTGTTGTGGGGGAGGAAGGGAAAGGAGAATGTTAGCCGCTTTGAGACTCCTTAAAGGGAGTGAAAGGTGGGATATCAAATCCAAACTCTTCTTCTTCTTCTTCTTCTTCTTCTTCTTCTTCTTCTTCTTCTTCTTCATTCAACACCATCTCTTCTTTCTTACCTACTTCAGCAACAGACCTTTAGATCACAAAAATCGTTACAACACAAAAAGATCACAGCTTCACTTAGGACCT